TCCGTTTTGATTTCCCTACGCTGATCTGCCCATGCTCCAGGGCAGGCGGCCACCCATGGGCCTGTCCCCTTAACAAAGCCCATCTGTGGGACCGTCCCTGCGACCGGGCCCAGGGGCTGGCTCTGCACAGCTTCCGTCCTGCCTCCGAGCCTTTGCTCTGCACCGGAATGCCCTCCCTCTCCCATCTCCATGCATCCAAATGCTGCCCAGAAGTCCGTGTCCTTCTAGCACCCGGTGCTTAGGGGGCAGAACTCAAAGTGATTAATTCAGTGCAAGTGTGGATCAAAATGCCAGACTGGGCCCTGCCTTCAAAAAACCGGCTCAGTCTCCACCAGGTACCGGCCCCACGGTACGGCACGGGGTAATGAGAAGGGCTCTAGCAGAGGCCATCGGGCACCACTCTGTGCCAGGCATTGGAATCAGATGCTGCTGCAGGGACGGGAGCTTTGCTCAGTGCACTTATTTAAATGGGCAGCTCCCTCTTTCAGCCTCTAGTTGTCAAGGTCCAGGGCAGGGCGGCAGGCAGGAAGGACCCTTGTTCACCCTCCCTCTTCCGGGAAGAGGGGTTCAGAGTTTCCCAGGAATGGCGGCATGGCAGAAGACTTGACTACAGGTCCCCAGCAGCTCCTGGGGCCGGGCCAGCTTCACCATGGTAAATGGGAGGAGACGGGCCTGGGACCGGCTCGAGAGAGACGGGGCCTTCCCCCGGCCACCAAGAAAAACAAGCAAGCGTAGCGGGTGCTTACCTTCTCCGCATCTGGATGCTGTTTTTGTTTTTTGATCCTATCTCGTTTTTTTCGCTCTATCTGTCCTGTGTCGTCCAGTGGGTAGCTGAGATTAGCCCCATTTTATAGATGAGGAAATCGAAGTCTGGAGGGATCGTGTCTCTTGCTTAATATGCAGCGGGAGAGCCGGGAGTGGACCCCAGGGTCCTCGGACCCCCAAGTGTAGTGCAGGCCCACAATCTGCCCTGCCCAACCCTGCGTGCAGTGGACCCTTCAGCAGAGTCTGAGGCCATCTGTGCTCATCCAAAGTAGAGTCCCACTGCCACCTCCAAGGGCAGAGGGATTCTGATAGGAGTCATACACTCATGATATCAAAAATGAACTATTAAATGACATTTTCCACCAAAATACTTAGCACAGCACCTGAGCTATACTGCTTCATATGTATAGCTATTAGTATTAATGGTAACTTATTTAACAATCCCTTCTGGTAAGTACTCTATGGTTTCAAAGGCACTTTCCACAGCAACATTGAGGAGGCTGGCTGGGGAGCAAGAGCCCCATTTTACAGATGTCCCCAGAGGAGAGATACCAAGGTCAAGGTCCCAGCTGGATCTGGGCTCCATTCCTCCACACTATGACTTGGACCCACACCTATTACAGAGGCCCAGGTAGAGCCTGAGCCCTTTAAGAGCCCTGGGACCAAGTGCGGGGAGGGAGTGGCCCCAAAAACCCAAGGCCAGGCCTCTCAGCATTCTCTGGAGGGAGTGAGTAGCCGCCTGGCGTTTTCCCTTTGATACTGATACAGGAGTTTTAATAGCTGCAGAGATCAGGCAGGTGCTGTTTCAGCTCTGGTCGTGCAGGGCATTCCAGGAGGCCGTCAGCTAGGGGTAGTGGGACGGCTGTTCTGTCCAGGGAGACTGGGGCCTTAGAAGGTTTTCCACTAACCCCTAAGCCTCAGCCTGGGCATGTCCCACCAGGAGTCTCAAACTCATATGCCTAAAGGGGTCAGGTTGGTGGGCCAAAGCAGGCGAAGCTGGCCAGGAGAGGGTACTGTGGTGACCTGGGCAGCACATGCCCACCCAGCAGGGGCAGCCATCACTCAGCACCACCCAGTCATCACCATGGCCCAGTATCCACCAGATCCTTCTGTTGTTCAAGAGAGACTGGAAATCCAAATCTTTTTGTGAAATCTCCTGGTTTGTAAGCAACTGCTCTTTACTGAGCACCTAGCATATGACAGACCTTGTTCCAGGCACTGAGGATATGGCAATGAATAAAACAGATCAAAATACCCATATCCTTGTGGAGCTTACCTTCTTGTGATCCAGGTAGACCATAAAAGAGATAAATGAACCAACAATACAACAAAATCCAGAGGAAAAAGATAAAACAGGGAAGAAGGAGTGTAAGTATATTGCAGGGTGCGGGGAGCAGAGGTCTCACTGAGAGCGAGAGGGTGATTAGCCGGGAAATGAGTATCCCAGGCAGGCAGGCCCACAAGTTCAAAGGCCCTGAGGTAGGAGAAAGCCTGGCATGTGCAGGAGCATCTAGGAGGCCTGTGTGGCCCCCTGGCGGCCATGTTGAGAATGCTCTATGGGGCAATGGCAGGGGGACCCATCAAGTTATCACCATGACTGGGCCAGAGAGGACCAGGCTTGAGCTAGATGTAATGAAGAGGTGGTAGAAAAGCATCAGATCCTGGATTTGTCTAGAAAGCAGAGAGCAGAAGTTGTTGACCAAATGGGCGTGGAGTGAGAGAGAAGAGGGCATCACTGATGATCTCAAGGGTCTGGCAAGATGGAGTTGCCATTCCCTGGGACGAGGAAGACAACAGAGGGGCAGGCCTGGGGAAGCGGGGACAGACTGTGAGGAGCCCGGTTTTGCCGAGCTGATTTTGAGATCCTATCAATGGAGATGTCAAGGAAGCTGCTGGATATATGCATCTGGTTCTGGAGGAAGATCCGTGTTAGGGGTGCGGGGAGGGGGGCATTATCACGTACAGATGGCGTTGAAGACATGAGGTGGGGTGAGGGCCCCCAGGAGCCAGAACAGAGAGAAGGCAGTGAGGCTGGGCCCTGTGGCCTCCACGTAGATGAGAAGCAACCATCAGAGGAGACAGAAGGAGCACAGAGTGGCAGGAGGGACACTGGGAGAGGGGCATCCTGGCAGCCCAGTGAAGAGAGTATGTCAGGGAGAAGGCAGGGCCAGGAAACCCTGTGACAGGCTGGGATGAGAAGGACAGTCCCCTGGGCTTAGTAGCACCAAAGTCACTGGTGACCTGGGGGAAAGCCGTGGGCAGAGGGCAGGTAGGAGCTTGGTGGGAGTGCTCCAGGAGAGAGAGGAGGAGTTTGCCTAGGAGAGAGCCTGGTCAGAGAGGAGTTTTCTTTTCCTTTCTTATTGGCCCAGCGATGATGTTAACAGTGGGTCGGTGACTGCCACATCCCACCTGAAGCCTGTTTGTGTAAATATGTCTCTATGGGAACACAGCCATGCTTCTTGGGTTTTCATGTTTTCTGTGGCTGCCTCTCACCTCCGACAGTAGAGCTGAGGGGTTGTGTCACCATGTGGCTCCTGCAACCCAAAATATTCACTCTCTGGCTCTTTCCAGTGAAGACAGAGCTTGATGAGAGCCAGGGATGGGGTCTAGAGGAGGCCGCTGCTGATGCAGGCGGGCGGGGAAGGCCCTGTGCACAGCTGGACGGTTGGCCTTGCGGGGGAGGAGCAAAGAGAAAGGGCAGGTGCGGTCACAGGCACAAGTGGCTGGGCTGCCCGGTGGCGGGAGCTTCTGTAGGCCTTTTCTGCTTGCTTTTATCTCAGGACCCTGCCCTTGACAGGGGCGTGGCGGGAGGGATGCTGGGTTGGGAGGGTGGAAGGCGGGAGGAGCAGGGAGCAGTGAGCTGCGCTGATGGGGTCAGGGAGACAGGGTATGGTTGCGGGGCTCTCATCGGGATCATGGTGGGGAACGAAATAGAGGCCAGTTGGCGAGGCCTGGATGGTACACCATACGAACTCACTAGCACCAAGTCTCATGGCTGTCACGGAGCCGTGGAAGTGTCAGGAGTCTGTGTCACTAGAAATTCAGACTCTGCCAGCGAGGAGGCCAGTGATGGAGAAATGTTTATGGCGGGGTGGCCAGCTGGCCTCCTAACCACTTCACATGGCAAGGACTTCAGGATTCTGGTCATTGTCAATAACTGTGAGCTGCGGGACAGGCCCCCCGTGGCCGGGTCTTCATGTGAAATCAGTCACTTCAGACTGCTGGAAACTGATCCAATGGCGGGGAGCGGGGGGATTACTGTAGGAACCAAATAAAACCAGCTACCAGGCTCTCACTGCTACACTAACATCAGAGAGCAAGGTGCCATTGTCCACCTTTGACCTTGGCCATGTTAGTCTCCGCACCTCACCCCGCCCCACCTTCCATCTCGGGTTCCTTACCTGTAACACAGAGTATCACAAGAGCGAGCATTTACTGTGTGCCTCCCAGGTGTCAGTCCCCTTCCCTTCTAACTGACCACTCCGGTCCTCCCATGAACCCAGTGCAGAAGGACTCGAATCCGCCCATGAGAACCATGCACGAACCTCAGCAGCCTCTCCCCGACATGTCCCTTGCAGCCCTGTGCGAGTGAGGCCCACCCTGTGTGGGTCAGTGCCCCGCGCTTTGAAAATCAGGCAGTCTGGGCACTGGGGCTCGTGGCCATGTGTCCGTTTGTCACCGTGGGGAGTGAAAGTTGTCCCAGTCTACTCGTTGCTACTCCCTTGGAGCCTTCCTGATTGGCTCCATGATTTGCAAAGAAGAGTTTTGGTAGAGGGGCACGTGGCCTGCTCAGCCCTCTGTCCCCTACCCCTGCCCAGCTTGCCTGGGACTGGCTGTGAGGGACCCCAGAAGAATAGTCACTGTCCCTGACACTGGGATCAATCAGGAGCCCAGATCTCTAGACAGGAAACAATTAGCAGAGAGCCGAGAAAAGCGAGTCATTGTGCCCATGATGGTGGGGTGCAGGAAGGCCACAACTGGTTTACAGGGCCTTGGGGTTGGCGTTAATTTCTTTAAGAGCACTCCAAAGACATCAGACACTGAGATTCCCTAGATGGGACCTTCTCCATCTGCTTCTTATTACGCAGACGCCCGTGGCCAGTCTTTGATCCTGGAACAGTCCTCCTGCGGCCCCCAGGCGGCCTTTTCTCCCCCTCCGTCCCCACCAGCCGCAGACCCTTCCTGGGGCTCGGCCTTCCGCTTCCATGACTCCTCTCCTCTGTCTCCTTTTGCAGAAATGGAAGCTCCACTCTCGGAGGCGCCGGGAGGCCCTCCCGAAGACGTCTCCAGGGTGCCACTGCCCGCCAGGTAAGGAGTTCTGCGAATAGCGGACAAGGATGGGGACAGGCGCCAGGGCCATCTTCACGGGTGTGCTATAGCCGTAGCAGTTCAGAGCGTCGCTTTTCACTTGAAAGATGGGGATGGCTACATCTGTGATGTTCACCTTCCCTCTGCGGGTTTCAGTTATTTGAGCATTCATTCATTCGTCTGCTCCTCTGTGGGGGTGCACGTGGGGTCGTGAAATCCCATACGATGATGCGCGTGGCCATGTTCGAGTTACCATGGGGGCGGGGGGCGGGGACCTGGCTCATCAAGTTCACAGTCGTGCCCCCAACTCCTGACACATAGTAGGTGTACAAACGTGTTACACTGATGAATGGATTAGCCCATCCTTGTAAAACTTGCCTGCCTTAGCTGGACGGCTCAGGGTGCCATATGTTCGCTCCCTTGTGTCTAGGTTGTACCCATAAACACACACATGCACACAGAGTAAAGGCTGCAGTGTGATGTGGGGCTTCATCTGGACTCAGACCCTGCTTTTGCCATTGACCTTCCCTTTCCGCTCTGGTCACTGGGGAGGATGCCTGTTCAAGTACTCTTCCTCTGCGTCTCACCCAGAGCACCCTGCTGGGCATTGGGTTTGATGGCACTGTCCACCATTAATAACGGTGACAAATTATAGCTCATGAGGACTTTTCTACGTTGCTGGCCATTATGATGAAGCTATGAGAGTGACAGATGGGCAAGCCTCACTGTTCCCATGAGTAACTGGAATGACTTTTCCCATGAGTAACTTCCTCTTTGGAGATGAGGAAGGAAGCTTCCAAAAAGGATTTAGATGGGGGAACACTTTGGAGTAATCGTAGAGGTCCTCTGCCAGCTCCAGGCAGGCCCCCTGCCACCCTCTGTGGGCACGTGACGCCGGCAGGATCGCTACAGGGCACAGGCTACCAGGGGCCCCGATAGTCCTCACCCAGGGCCCCCAGGCCAGGGAATGGAGGCCAACAGGTGGTGAGCATATGGGAAACAGAGGGCCCACATTCTCAGAAGAGTGAGGGAGCTGGGGTGGGAGTCACAGTTCAGGGCGCTGCCCCGGGGTACAGTGGGGCCATGACGGGATTCAGCTGGCCCATCGGGAGAGGGTCGCCCAGGTTAATTAAAAGGGTGTCCGAGTCCTGGGAAGTTCCCTCCCTCCCTCAGGGCCCAGGACATTGAGCCCTGGCATCTGGGAAAGCTTCTGGGAGAAGAATGCCAAGATTAATGAGATGGGATGAAGGAGAGGGAAGGGTAGCCAGGCATGGGCAGAGAACCCGTTAGCATCGGGCTTTCTAAGGCAGCGCGTGCCTCAGATAAACCTGTCCATTCAAATAGTATTTAGTGCCAATCCTGACTGCTAGGAAGCACTAGTTCCATTATTTCCTCAATTCCTCTCAGACTCAAAAGATGTACAGAAATCCTATCAGACTATGCCTTGGTATGGGTGGGGGGGCATGGGCGGCATATTTATGATAAGGCAGAGACTTGACTTTCTCCCTCTCCATCCTGCTTGGGCTTCACGTGTCCTGTCCACCCGCCAAGTGGGTATCTAACCAATAGGCATCAATTTTGTGCTTCGGAGAGTCTGACTCAGGAGGTCCTGGGAGGCTGGGAGGTGGGGAGGTTAGGGAGGGATGTGGCGGGAAGGAGAAAAATTCCAAACTGCTTCATCTCGCCTCACTTCTGGGAGTCTGTAGGCACCCTGGGGTCTTGGGCAGGGAGAGGGAGGGATGCAGTGGAGAGCAGAAAAGCCTTGACACCGGTCCTCTGTGGAGAGCAGCCACCAGCAGGCACCCAGTTGGCCGGAGATGGGAGGAGAGCAACAGGGCTCCTGGGAGGGGTGTCCCGAGTGTTTGAGAATCACCCAAAGGGCAGTTTGGTCCAAATTAGAGGTCAGAGCCAGATGGGTAGCACCAGGAGAATTTAATCAGAGGACCTAAAATTGAGACAAGATCGGAAGAAGACTAAGATGTTCTTGGAGAGGTTCTTGGAGAGGCAGGTTCTTGGAGAGGCAGCAGGAAGGGACTGGAAGGGCTGCACAGAGAGGCATCTCAAACCGTGGAAGCATGGAGTCAAGTGCATCTGCTGGGATGGGCTAGGTCCCATTGGGTGGGTCCCTGCACCTGCCCCTTCTGCCTAAGCTGAGGGTTCTCACCACACCGTGAACTTACCTCCTTCACACGGAAGGCTACCAACCACGGGGCTGCCGAGCTGTCATGAATAATCGTGCTCACCACCATAGCCCCTAACCCAGCTCCTGCTGCATGCCAGAAACAGTACGGCGTAATTCTCGATGGATGACCTTCCAGAATACTCCAAACGGGCAGTGTGGGTTTTTGACGTTCTAAAATAATAGCAAATCTCCAAACCCAGGAGTAGAACGCCTCTCTCCCTCTTGGGTCTAAATGATGCCTCTCAGATTATTTCCTTAAAGTCAGCGTTTATAAACCACTTTAGGAACCACTTTGAGGTTCCTGATATTTGCAGAAAAACTTATACAACTGGAAAGTGCTACCCACAAAGCATTATAATTTTTGTCTTGCCAGCATCTGATTAGACGCCTGTACATAGTAGATGCTCAATGCATCTCGGGTAAAGGATCATCAATTATCCTTCCTGAGTGATTATATTCTTTCCTGTGTTCCCCCTTCGCCCTCTGGCTGGTTTCTGATACCCCGCCTTCCCACACCACACACCCCACCCACCCTACCTCAAGCCTGCCCTGCATCTTGCCTGATGCAGATCTTTCACGGCTGCTGGGACACAACACATAAACATTTTTTTTTTCTGCCTTCTGTGGCCACTGGGATCCGAGCCTAGGATCTTGAGCCCGTGCCTGCCCCAGTCCACCGCTGCGGCTTGCTGGGCTAAGGCGGGGTCCTGGGTGTATTCTTCCTAGTGGCAGCCTTGGGCCCCTGGATGGCCTCCAGAGGGTTCAGGACACATAATCATGGGCAGAAAACCCACCTCCTTCCCTTCCAACTCTGACCTCGCCAGCATCCTCCCAGGATCCTCCCTGTCCCAAAATAGCCATGCCCTTGCTGAGGTCTGGCTGCTCCTGGGACACATACACTGAGTTCCATGGTTGTGCTGGGCCTGCAGGGTGCTGAGGGGTGGGGCTTGGCAGGACGGTCACAGCCTTCAGAAGTTCAGAGGAGTAAGCGTTGGCCATTCCTAAAGCATACAAACTGGTGGGACGGGAGAAGAGCCTTGGGAACCAATACGGGCACCGTGAGACTTCCCAGGCCACTTGAGAAGAAGAATACAAAGGTTAGGGAAACTCCCGTTTCAGTCCCGTTCTCAGTAACAAATGAGGAGCAGGACAATAGAGCCTCCAGCCAGCAAGGAAGCAGCTCCTTCAGGCCCGCCACGCTGGGGCTGGCAGCGTGAGGGGTTTCACACGGAAGGAGTCACAGGAGTAGGTGGCTCCGCCGTGTGGCCTCATTTCTGAGGGGAGAGGAGTCCGGAGCCCCAGAGGTTCGGACTGCAACCGCGGGGGCGAGGGCGTGGCCTGCTGGGGTCTGTGCATTAGCATCTTAGCCAGCTGTGGTGCGGAGGATGGATGAGCGGGAGAGAAGTTGCCCTAGCCTGGCTTGTGGGAGGGACCATGGCCATCCCCTGGCTCACGTGTGTGAATGAGAGGTGTGCAGCGTGACAGGGATCCCAGAGGAGCCTGGGACTTGGGGAGAACTTCACTGAGGAGGTGGCCCTGGAGGTTGGCAGAAGGGCGTCTGCTCAGGGTACAGACTCAGCTACCACCGCAACAACAGCTCGGACTACAGGGACTCCAACGAGGAGGAGAGGAGGTCTCTTCCTTAGCGGGTCAGAGGACAGTGGTGCCGCGCTGGGAAGGTGGCCTTGCTATCTCCTTCATGTGGCACGACGCTGGCATTGCTCTGTTCTCGCCATCCCCCGCTAGCGTGGAAGAGGAAGGAGGCTGGGGCAATATACGCCCAAACCCTTAAGAGGGTGCGGGTTGGGGGGAAATCCCAACATGCATCACTTCTGCTTGTATCCCATTGGCCAGCACTTAGTCACGTGGTCACCAGCCCCCGGGGAGGCGGGGCAGCCATATACCCAGATATAGGTCTGTCGCTGTTGGAAGCGGAAGAACAGATAATGGAAGAGCAGCTAACAGTCTGCATAGACGTCTCCGGCTGAGGCACCTGCATGGACAGAGGCTCGAGAGGAAGAAAAAGGCAGCGTATTTAGGAATGACCAGCAGTTGGAGGAAGCTTGAGCATAGAAGCAGTGATCTGAAATAAGGGTGGGAAAAGATGGCAAAGGGTCAGGCCGAGGAGTCCCAGCCCTCCCCCTTCTAAGACAGGGAAACGGTTTCCATCCTGAGGGTGATTGATTAGTAATGGCTGCCCAGGGTGTCCGGAGTCTGATTCGGAGGCTACATCCAGGCTCGGTGGAAGACGTGGTAATCGTTTGATGATGTCTGTTGTGGGTGCAGGCCCGGAGAGGTGTTACACCGTGCACTGGCTTTGTTACCCCTCCGGAGGTGATGTGGCATCAGAGAAGGATTGGGGAGCAGGGATCTGATCTCATCCAGTTCATATTCTAGAGCAATAACTAACAATGACGTGGAGGCTGGCTTGAGGGCAGAGGAGCCCCTTCCAGGAGCGAAAGTTGGCGATTGGTTTTCAGGTTGGAACTGCCTCTCTGGGCTTGGTTATTTTCCATAGGTGATAATAGCCGGTGTCCACCTGTCCTGAAGCTCTTTCTTTGTCTAGCCTTGCCTTGTTTGCTCTGGTGGCAGATTACCCCCTCCCCAACAGCCTCGGGGCATTTTCACAGGCAGGGACTATGGCCAGAGTTTCCATCCTAGACTGGGTCCCCCCACTTCTGTTGGACTGCAGCAGAGCAGACCCACAGCCATCCTCCCCTGTGGTTCTCCTCATTTTAGACTCAGCTAACCCAGAAAAGGGAGAATTTAGACCAAAGTGTCCCCGGGTGCCATTAATAAAGCAAAAAACTGCTGAGCT